TCAGGGAGTGGAGTGTACACACAAACAATAAACGGCAAAGGAGCTAATTTTAGCCACTTAAAGAATAATTCTTCCAAAATGAAAATTTGCTAAACATTTACTCCCCCTCAGGCCATCTAAGATGTAGATTAGTTTGTTTCTATATTAGAACACATTTGGAGAAATTTAGCATTACATCACTTGCTCACCAATGCATTCTCTGCAGTGAATGGGTGCCGTCAGAATAAGAGTCCAAACAGCTGATAAAAACATCACAATAATCCACAACACAACTCCAGTCCATGTCTTGTGAAGCTAAAAGTTGTTTGTATTAAACAAATCTTTAAGACATTTTAACGTTTTAAACTTCCAGCTAAAATATGAGTCCTCTTTCCACACTGCTTTCTCAGGTGAAAAAGTCATAAAAAATGAAATCGCATCATATGACCCCTTTAAAGTTAACACACCTTAATGATGGGTTTGTTTCTTACAAACATGCAGCTTTTCACTTTACAACATGTTAACTGATGGATTGGAGTCGTGTGGATTACTTGTGGATTTTCGTGATGTTTTTATGAGCTGTTTGGACTCTCATTCTGATGGCACCCATTCACTGCAGAGGATCCACATGTGAGCAAGTGATGCAATGCTAAATTTCTCCAAATCAGTTCTAATGAAGAAATAAATCCATCTACATCTTGGATGGCCTGAGGGTGAGCAAAGTTCCAGTAAATTTTTCATTTTTGGGCAAACTATTCCTTTAATATTAGAAACTATAAATCATCTAATTTATAAGATGAAACGCGGCAGTTTGAATTTTGGGGTGAACTATCCCTTTAAATGTACTGTTTTCGCCCTACCACAAGCTGACTTCTCTCCTATTCACCTCCACTGATCTCTGCATGATCACACCATCTGAGCCAAGAGATCTCACTGTTCCGGGTGTGATGGCAAGAGAGTAACAAGCTCATGGGCTCTAAAAGCATCACTTCCCAATCCTCCCATAATCCTATGTCTAATACAAATGCACAGAGATTTATCAATTTAATACACTTAAGAGGGATTTCTCACATCTCAATAAAAATGCAATGAAAAGCACAGCTTAATAGCACAGTAGGCTTTAGCTAAGTCACTTTAAAAATAGTCACTGGACAAAACAGGGTTCCGCTCCTCCCAGCTATTGTGTAATTAATAAGCAGGCAGTGGGTGCCAGCAGGACTTTGCATACAGCTTCAGGTAAGGACAATTAGGGCCATGGTTAAAGGAAAAAGTAAAAACAGATCTCATTGATAACACTGGGGGACAGTGGGATGAGGCTCTGCTCTTCAGAGCCTCACTGGATCTTTGCTACCGTCCCAGAGCCAGGCACAGTGTGGCCGCTGTGGAGTCAAAAATCATGGCTCTACGCCTGTGAAGACTGGACCTTCTTCTGAACCTCCACGTGCTGTAGTCCCTGACAGCGGTCCAGCTGTAATCTCCACAATGACAGAGGATTGCATTAGAGGATTGCAAAAAAAAAAAAAAAAAAAAAAAAAAAAAAAAAAAAATCAACACCCTCCCAGTCAGTTTTTTAAACTAATTTAGACATTTAAGCATTTATGTAAGTGAAGCAGATGTCCTCCAAATTCTATATTTGAAGAGACCAGATGTGTCTGGCTGGAGTTCTGCAACGAAGGATTTAGCACACATGCTTTTTCCTCTTTCTGGTTTTCCTTTAATTTGCAAATCTTGTAATCTAAGCCTAAAGCTGAGTGAACCAACTTCTAAACCAGCAGTGCTGTATCGGCCAAGACTGCAATCTGTTTTCCATTTGAGTGTCAAGACAGCATCCACACTGGTGGTTGACAAAAGCTGTTATTTCAAAATGATTATATACTAAAAATCGTGTGAGGACTTTGGTAAGTTTATGAACTATTTCAGTAAAGGGGAAAGAACCGAGCACAGTGCAGCTAAAAAATACAGAGCTAGGCTATTTACCAAACACTTCTACTGGAACGCAGCAGCAGCAACACCATTCACCCGGAGGGAGAGGGTTATGGTTTTCAACACGAGGCATGTTTTCAGCATTAGACCAACCGTTGCAGGAGTACAAAGCCAAACCGTCAGAGTCTGTCTCCATGTCAGGGCGGACACGGCGCGTTTGGCTGCATAAGCGTCAGCAGAGCAAAGCTCTAGTCTTGGAACGGCTGGGATGGTGGTCTCCATCAAAGTGTGCTGAAGACAGACTTCCTTATTCTATTTCCTCAGGAGGAAATATTGAGTTAAGATTTGCAGCAGCAGCAGAGTAGTTCATTTTAAGAGGTGGCAGACGTAGCCGAGGGGAGGAGAGGAGCCAATAACTGATGCGCCCTGCTCCCTCTCACTCCCTAAGGGGGCATATTTCTCACAGATTGCAGTTCGACTCTGTTAGGGGTCCAAGGTTGCAGGTCTGGCCTTCTGGAGCCGACCGGGTCGGTCAGTCAGTCAGCAGGGTTTGGCCGTCTCTCTCCAGACCACTCCCTGGCCCCATCAGACCTTTGATGCAGGTTATTATGTATAACAAATTACAGGTTTTCAAATGTACTGATTTGTACCTTATAATATCTAAATGGTGCACACACTGAGGGATGTGGCTTGGACTCCACCACACGTTAAAACGGGAAAACGCCATAAACCGGACAACGACGGAACATTGCATTAGCACATAGGTTTCACCTCATGAAGAGTTTTACATGTCTCCACTCGTGTTGTGCATGCCAGGAGATGGATACAAGCCTATTATAGACATAAAACTTCACTTGGGGAAAAATGCAAAGATCTTAAATGCCTCTGACCTGCATTCAACCTCAACTGGCCTTTCTCAAATAAAAAATAAAAATACACAGCTGACCAAAAGTCTACACTCTACAAAATTATTTCACAGCCTACACCTTCACAATAACAGCTAAATGCAATAGTTGCAACAACTAATTAATAATACAGTGTTTCCCATACATTGATTTATTTGTGGCGGCCCGCCACAATATCAACACTGACCGCCACAAATAGATTTTCCAAAATGCATTGACTATATAAACATGAATAAAAAACTTAAACTTGAATAAACATGAGCTCTGCATGTTTCAAAGTCAAAACGCAGCGCGGGTGTTTTTATATGAATGTATCTTTGAAGGGCACTGACTGTCTTTAGAAAAGTTTTGATGTCATTTTCATTTAATCTTTCCTATAATGTCTGATAAAGCAGCGTTTATGAGCACAGCGCTGTTTTACAGCCGTTACCGGGGAAACCGCTATTTCTGACGCTCCTAAAGGTATAGGTTCTTTGCCATAGGAGCCTGAGAAAAATGCTCATTTTAGAAGAAAAGTTTTTAATATATATATATATA